CATCCAAATTAGGCCCTAACATGCATGGATTGCATCATTTACTATCCAAAGCCATCATTATTACCTAAAGCTCAATGAACTGAAAGAGAAACACAAAAAGGATTAAAAGCACAAGTTTAACTCAAAAACATAACCAAATCATAAGCTAGAAGGGTACAAAATGATATACAATTATGAACCGATCAGCGACCGGTCGCTTTGCAATCTGTCTGAAAGCGACCGGTCGCTTGCACCTTGCGACCGGTCGCTGGTCACGATTTCCAGCTTCTCCTCCAGACTTCGAATCTGCTTCAAAACGACCGGTCGCAAATACCCAGCGACCGGTCGCCTCTTCCTTCACTTGCATACTAAATGTGAGCCAATTTTACAACAAGTCCCTCTCCGGCACTCATTCAAGAAATGGTATTTGTTACGAGAAGAAAACACCAAACATCTCCTCTCGGTCTCCGCTTAGATCATCAAATCAATTAAATATTGGCCAGATATTCAAAGCATTAAGAACAGTAGCAAATACTCAACATGTAATAGTAATAAAAAAATTAATATAACTATAAAAATTAAATATTCATGGTTAGGCTACATCGTAGCCCTAGTAAGGAAAATTAGTTCATGACAAAAGAAAAGATAAATAAAAGAACTGTTGTCATAAAACCGATTTGGTAGATGGATTTTATCATTCTTCTCCAATTGGCTTTGTGCAAAAATTCATTCGAAAAGTCAATTTTCAGTCAAAACCCTTCCAAGAAAGCATAATAGCTGAAAATAAGGAAAGTAAGGTAATAATGCTATTTTTAATTAACTTTTCCTACAAAAACCAAATATAAGAGGTATAAAAATATAGGAAATAATGCACTTATTAGCTCTGCAAAAGAAGCTATATGTTAATTAATTAAAGAAACACACAGCTGATTAATTTACTTTAATTTTCACCATTTTAATTAATTTACATAATATTTATGTCCCACATATGCTGTGGAAAACTACTGCCAAAGCTTTACTTTGATGAGGCCAAATGGTTCCACGAAGGATGCATATCCCGAGCATGGAGGAGTATATGCGTGTTGCTGCAGCCTTTGATTGGTTGCTCGATGACCCTAAAATTCTTTAGAGCTTCCAATTTCATTATTAGGCTCATGGATGACATTGTTTCGAGCAAGGTACAAAGAAACTACTAAATTAATTATTACACGATTCTCACTTTGATCTCTCAATATATATTCATTGTTGAATTTTATAGTTTTCGTACTCTTGAACAATTTACGTGTCGCTGTAGTTTTTGTTCAAAGTATGTTAGTTTTATTTGTAATGTAGTATTTAGGGGCAAAAAAATCTGCTCACACCAAAGTTAAACATTACAGATAAAACTTAATTGAGGGACTTTAACTATAATTTACTCTGAGATGAATCTTCCAATTATGGATGTGCTATTTTTGCAGTTTGAGAAAGAGAGAGGGCGTTGATGTCTTCAACCATGCCATTGATTGTTACATGAAGCAATATGGGGTGTCAGATGAGCAAGAGATAATTGATTTCTTCAACAATCAAATTGTGGATTCGTTGAACGAGGAGTTCCTTAGACCAACTTCTATGCTAATGCCTATCCTTGTACGTATTGTTAGTTTAATAGAAAATTTGGCATAAGTCCAATTATGAGGAGAGATATTGGGTGCAATCCACACAGAAGTTGTTGTTGATCCAAGTATTCTGACTTTTGCGCCACATAAGATTGCATGCCTTTTTTAATTTATTGATATTTACTTTTTTTAATTTTTAATTTTTTGTTCCAATTATGCACCTAAAACATAAATAAGGTAAATTATGAAGAGTGCTGCTATTTCCACCCACCTGTCCTATTTTCCCACCCACCTTATCTTCAAAATTTTAAAAACAAATTTATCCATTTGTAAAATTACTTCTAAGGACTTAGCTCTCTTCAAATTGACACCCTATCCTATACGTTTCAAAATACATTTCAAGAGAATACTAGAACGCTCTGATGTTATTGATTAACATGATTATATCAAGTCATGCGACATGCAGCTATAAAGTTGTCTAATTTTCATTCAGGTTAATGAATAGAGCAAAATGATTCCACAAGTGAAATAGATACCTAAATCAAACTAATATAAAAAGAAGACAATATTGCAAGCTATCCCATGATTATTCATCTTTTCTCATATTATGGCTATGCCCTCATCAATTCTTAATTTATTTCCAATTTATCTGTCTTGGCAGGTAATAATAATAATAATTATTATTAATTAAAGGGCATGTTAGGAATAATGGTGGGTGGAAAGATAAAATTGTGTTTTTTCAAATTTACATGGTGGGTGAGGAAATGGGACAAGAGGGTGGAAATAGAAGCACTCATTATGAATTTGTAAAACTGGTAAGTTATTGATTTGTAGGACATTAATTATCATATTTGATTTGAATTTAATTGCAAATCTATTTATTTGAATTTTGAAAATTTCCCAAGGTATACCGACATCAAAATTTGTAATAAGAGTTCATGAAAATTTCATACCTTAACAATAGGTAAGGTACCTATGCATACACCTCGTATGCAGGTAATTAAACCCATAAATTACCTATGGTCTAGGTAATTAAACCCATAAATTACCTATGGTCTAGGTAATTAAATCCATAAATTACCTAGAGTCTAGGTAGTTGTACCCTCTATCCTAGAGTCTAGGTAGTTGTACCCTCTATCCCAGGTAATTGAACTCATATAATATCTTGGTATGGATCTTTAAACTCAACTGAGATAAAAATCCATACAAAATTTCTTTGGAAAACAAAAAAAAAACTATTACATGGAAGGCAGGTACGTATGTATATACGTGGTTCACCCGAATGATGGGCTACGTCCACGGAGAAGGATATTCTCATTATGATAATATTTGTTTATATTTGTACAAGGGGGTTAGACCCAAAGATAAAAGGAAGAAGGCCCAAGGCCCAAGGGTCAAGACCTTTTTCTAACTGGAAAGTGGTCTTCTTTTATAAGTGAGGGGGAGTCAACACCTCTTGTAGTCTTCCAATGTGAGACTCCTTGCCTTGCTTAGATTTGTGACTTGTGGTAAGGCTTCTTTGGCTAATTTGATGACCTCTCAAAGTATGGCACGTGGCTGATCTTGCCTAGCTAGTTGCTCGATTAATCATGATACCAACAGGTGCTATACTTGGTTTTTCCAAACATGTGTTTATGACATACTGTCTTTTGCCCTATGTGGCGTTGGGTGAAGCTTCCCCTTTGGTCACACAAAAGAGAGAATGAGAAAAAAAAACAAAACAAAAAAAGAACAAAGCATCGGAGTCAAAGAGAGAGAGAAACTTGTTAGTTGAGGGAGGAGGAGGAATATTGTATGAGTTTGATGTTGCCGATGGATCCCTCTATATTGTTTGTAATCAATTTCTGAGTTGTATTTCTCTCGTGGTATAATTCATGAATCCAATCTCCCTACCTAGTGACGGAGGGAGCTAAGACCCAAGGTGGGCAATAATAGCATAGTTTTAGGCACTACTATAGGCACTACTATAGGAGTTTTTTACTCTTTCGTCCTATAAAAGTTGTACAATTTCTCATAGAAGAGTCAAATAAATTGATCAAGTCAGTCAATTGTCCAGATGCGGAGGCGATTTTCTCTTTTTACACTCGCTCAAGTTATTCAATAGCACTAGATATTGATCACAAAACAAATAAATAAATAAAGTCGCACTACTTCACATACATTTGTTATCCGATGTTCTTTTCGATGACTATGGCTGGAAGGAAGCAGCCGGGAAACAAAGAATTTGGGTTTGCAATAAAATAATGGAAAGCAAGAGAAAACTAAAAGCAATAATTACAAAGAATGTTGAGATGTAGGAGCTGTCACTTTCGCTTAGATGTGAACAATATTTTGAGAGGGTTTGATTGGCTGCAGACTTTTATTAATTCAAACAAGTGTTTGCTACGACAAAATGCCACCAGCCTTTATCTTAACATTTCTAGAAAATTCGGTTTAAGTTCAATTCGGATGACATAAGTTGGGTGCAATCTTTATATTTGTTGTTATTAATCTAATTACAAGACGTTTTTTAAAAGTTGCTTATTTTTTAATCATCACAAACCCAAACGTTACCTAAGTCTTATGATTTTTGTGTTATTGCCTTTTTCGATTTTTTTATGTTTACTTTTTAATTTTTTTTAATTTTTTTAAAGGGCTAGCTAACATCATTTTACCCCCTGAAGGTTTGGGGTCATTCTTGAAATGGGCTACGGAGTTTCAATTTTGTCAATTTACGTAATAACATTTTAAAATTCAACAAATGTACACATTCAGTCAGTTTGACCATTTGATCTTCTGTTAATGATGACGTGGCAAAAGTAGGGTCCACTTTTTAGCTTAGGTATAATTAAATATTAAGAAATAATATTTAAAAAGAATTTAATTTTTTTTTTTACAGATATTAAAATTAAAATAAAAAAAAATTATCCTCTCTCTCTCTGTCTGCTGTCCTATCTCCGTATCAACCCCCACTCCATTTCAACAATTGATGTTTCCCAATATGTCATGCTCGCTTCGATTGGAGTAATTTTTGAGTGTTCTCGGTACACCACGTGGTTGGTGTACCATCCAATAGACGGAAGACATATGGAATATTTCCAATGCAGTCCGCCACATGTCATAAGAAGAAATGCAGTAAGTTGGATAATAATTCCACATGTTCTATGTTTATTGGATGGTACACCAGACACGTGGTGTACCTGGAACATTTAAAAATTTCTCCTTCGATTGGTTTACTTATATTTGTTTTTATTATTCGTATGGTGTTTTATTTTATAGAACATCCCAACAAAAACATATTCGTTTTTATTATCCAATTATTATTATTAATTCCTGCACACAGAATAATAATAAAAAATAAAATATAAAATATTTTTTTAATAGGCGTTCACCTGATATTTTCATCCAAAAAGTCCGGGGTGATCTTATATATGGAGCACCCTACAAACTTTTTATTTGTCAAGCACAAACACAACACCACCTAAATAATTAAGAAGTGGAAGACGATGTTAAATCTCCTGAATGAAACCTTCTCAAGCTTGTTGCAACCTTTTTCCTTCAAGTATTTAGCACTTCTTGCAATTTTCTTCATCCCTATATACAAATGGTTCTCCACTTCCGCAAACTCATCACCACCTTCTCCACCAAAGCTCCCTATCATTGGAAACCTTCACCAACTAGGCCAGCACCTTCAGCGCTCTCTTCAAACCCTAGCTCAACGCCACGGGCCGCTCATGCTCCTCCATTTCGGAAGTGTGCCGGTCCTTGTGGTCTCCTCAGATGAGACTGCCCGAGAGATCATGAAAACCCATGACATCACATTCGCCAACAGACCCAAGAACACCTTCTTCAAGAAGTTTTGCTACAACTTCAAAGACGTGGCCTCGGCTCCTTATGGTGAGTATTGGAGGCAGCTGAAAAGTATATGCGTCTTAAATCTCCTTAGCAACACAAGGGTTCGTTCTTTTCGTGCCGTAAGAGAAGAGGAAACTAAATCCATGATCGACAATATAACTAAGCACTGCTACTCATCCCCCTCCTCAGTACCATCAGCGTTTAATTTAAGTGAAATGCTCGAGACGCTTACGAATGATGTTATCTGTAGAGTGGCTCTTGGGAGGAAGTACAGCGATGGCGGGGAACGTGGGAGGACGTTTAAGAAGCTTGCCGAGGAGCTGTCGTTGGTGATGTCACGTATCCATATTGGAGACTATATCCCATGGCTTGCTTGGATCGCCCGTCTCAATGGTTTGGACGCCAAGTTTGACGATCTGGCTAAACGGTTTGATGAGTTTTTAGAAATAATTATTCAAGAGCATATGGATGAATTTGATGGTCTTACCAAGAATGAGGACCAAAAGGATTTTGTGGACGTTCTGCTTTCCCTTCAGGCTGATTCTCCTATTGATAGAGTTAGCACCAAGGCTATCATCTTGGTAATTAACTCTCTCTCTCTCTCTCTCTCTCTCTCTCTCTCTCTGTGTTACATGCATAGTGGTGTTGCAATATGCTTGTTATGCGATCATATCTTATTAGAAATAAAAAAAGTATAACCATTTCTGTATTTTTTTTATTGTCAAACTTGTAAAACCATGCTAGCCTGCCACGAAGGACAAAGGAAAAGATGTTTTGGTCACTCGTAAAATTCCACGTTAGTTCTTAACGACTTCTCTCACATGGATGGGACCCATAACTTTTATCTGGTAGGAAAATATGATATAAATAGTTGTGTCATCCCATGCCTTTTGTTTATAAAGGGCAAGTCCAAAATGTTTGACTTCTATTAGGTTTTTCCAAAATCTGTTGTTTTTAATATTACTAGCCTCTTTCAATTAGATTAATATATGGATATATAAAAAGAAATTTTTGTTTTTTTTAAAGAGAGATGAGGTTTTTTATTTTGTAGTAGGGAGAGAGATATGAGGGTGGAGTGGAAAATAACTAATTCCCCTTAATTATTTTTTTTTTTGTCTGAACCACGAGGTGGTCCTGGATGGGCCCCAACTATGGGTGGCACCTTTAAGCCTTAACCACAACCCAGACTAATCCCCGCTCACACCCGGTCGGCCCGTAAGGGGTAAAGTGTTGGCCAAAGTGGTGACTCCATACGAGAGCGGGGATCGAACCCCTAACCTCTCTTAAGGAATGAGAGTGCCGAGCCACTCACACCAACCACCTTGGTTATTCCCCTTAATTATTTAGATTGAATGAGTTTTTTATTTTGTAATTTAGCAAATAGTTTTTTTTAAGCTTAAATGTTAAAATGGTCCTTGTGTTTTACTCATTTGGTGAATTTAGTCCCCGTGTTTTTAATTTGGCTAATTTAGCCCCTGTGTTTTACTCCATTAACCAATATTGTCCATTCTAACAAACTACCGTTAAAAAATTAATAAGAAAATTATTAAGTTCAGTTTACAATAAAAATAAGAAAATAAGAAAATAAGAAAATTTAATTCCACCACCACCACCCAACCCCCACCCCAATAAGCAGTCCCAGCCACCACCCCATTCTCTCTCCCCGATTCATCCCACCCATGCCCACAACTCCTCCATCTCTCTTTCCTCTCCCTTCCCTGCTCAATTCTTTTTGTACATTTTCTTTTTATCTATTAATCATTATGTTTCTTAAATAATTAGAGATTTTTTGTTAGTTGAAATAATATTTAGAAATTCTTTCACTATCAACATTCATTATTAAACGTTGCACTTGATCGGTTCATAATTGTATATCATTATGTACCCTTCTAGCTTATGATTTGGCTATGTGTTTGAGTTAAACTTGTGCTTTTAATCCTTTTTGTGTTTATCTTTCAGTTAATTGACATTTAGGTAACAATGATGACTTTGGATAGGAAAT